CGGGCGGGCGGGGAGGAACGAGCTTCAGCAGCCGCCGGGGCCAGAGGATCAGCTCGGCTTTCCCGGCAGGTGGAGGATGGCGGCGGGACCTCCCGCGCCCTCTCGGGGTGGAGAGGCGCGGCTCAGACCTGTCCGGGGCGCAGAGACGGCTCCACCCGGGGCTTTTTCAGGAGTGCGTGCGCGTAAGCTGCGGCCGGAAACTGCTCGCCCAACGTAGAGGTGACCCCTAGAACCCGGGGTCAGGTTAGGGAGCTTCTACCCCCAAGAGGTCGCCGCAGCTGGTCAGAATATTCCCTCCCAGGAGCGTGGGGCCGACTCGCCCTCCCCCTCGGCTGCACCTTCTGCCGAGTGCGCAACTGCGGGTTCAACTCTCTGGGCCAAGGCGCTCTGGGAAGGCTGGGTGGTCAGCCCCCCGCCCCCGCCTCTCCCCAGGGGAGGGCCTGTGATGAACTAAAGGCTAAGAAGCGTAAGAGGTAGGGGGGGTCGGCGGACGAGGCCAAGGCAATGGCAGGCACTTCCCGAAAGGTCTTTCCTTGGGACTCCCCTAGCCCCCCGGACCTGCCACTTTCTGCCCCTCTTCCTCCCTGCAGCGTTCCGTGCGCTCTCCAGGAGGTCACACCGCGGCACCGCCTCTGTGCGCCCGGATCTGGCACAGCGCAAGGCCTGGACGCCCAGTCTCAGCCACCCTCCCGGACCTGGAGCCCGCGCATCCGTCCCCAGAGCCGGCTGGCCCCAGTCCCCGCGGAGCCCCCGGACATCCTCACCCGGGGCTGCAGGGCTGGGCTCTGCCTCCTTAGCCTCCAACCTCCTGTCGCCTCTCAGCGTTTCCAAATCTGCCCTCTCTCTCCTCAGTCTACTCCACCGGCCCTCTCCCATTCCTTCCACTTCTTCCCCGGCTTGAATTTGACTCCCTGTAGCCCCGAGAACAGCGTTTGTACCAAAACTGCTACACCAAATTTAGATCTCCACACGCCCCGGCGTTTTGTTTTTTAATTGCATTAACTAAGTATACACTTTGCAGTCAGCTAGGCTATTTGCAGATAAATGTTTTCACCACCCCTTCTCCGTTTGGCTGCGGTCAGGGCTTTGCGTGGCATTTTCTAAGACCCCAAAGTTTGGCCACATAAAATGTCATACCGGGCCCCGCGTCATTGGAAAGGTGTGGGCGGTCTTATTAGGACCCCATTGCCAGTTTTCTCAGAATAAGAGGGAGTTTGATCGCATCTTCTCCTAGAAGAAACATTACCTACTGTCTCCCCCCCACCCCAAAAAAAGATTTGTAAACAATGCTTCTGCTCCGGGAAACACAACAGGGCAGCACTGAGGTAGCACAAAACCAAAGGAAGACAGAGTGTATTGTGGACAGTGCTTTATCCCACACTCCCCGGGACTAGGTGTGAGATTGTTTTCCATATTCAGCGAATTCAGTAGAATGGTGTGCCCAAAATAAGACAGTGTGGGCCATGTCTGCATATGCCTGGGAAGCATATGTCGACCCACACCCACCACCACTGTGTGAATCCCTACAAACACAAGCATGGGTGTGTCAGCCAATTGTAGCTGACATTATTTCAGGGCTTGCAACAAACCCACTAAGCTTGCTTTCCTAAAATCACCTCCGCAAGGAGGCTTAGAGCAGTGCCTGACATATAGCAGATACTCTGGGAATGTTTGCTGAGCTACTACTGAGTGAAGGACCTCATTTAATTCTCTATGGTTAGGTAATAGCACTTGTTGTTGTTGTGTTGTTATGTGCCAGTCGAGTCGGCCCCAACTCATAGCGACCCCTCCTTGGGTTTCCTAGGCAGTATCACTACGGAAGTAGATTGCCCCATCTTCCTTCTGAGGAGTGGCTGGTAGGTTTGAACCGCCAGCCTTCTGGTTAGCAGTCAAGTGCCTGAGCCACTATGCTACCAGAGCTCACTAGACCCACACAAATGGAGGAAGAGGCCGAGACCAAAAGCCATTAAGCCAGTTGCCCATGGTAGTTCATCCAGGTAGTGCCAGAGTTGGTACTAGAACCCAAGAAGTTTGACTCCAGAGCCTGTGTTTTAACCACTGCACACACAGTGCAGTCCAAAAATAGGTCTCCAAACTCTCTATCCCCTTGTCATTCTATTTTATATTTGTTGTCTGTCTCCTCCCCGTAAAGGGAAAAGACCTTTCACTTTCACTGACTCTAGGTGGGTCCCCAGGACCTAGAACTCTGCTGGACACAGTAAGTATTCAAAAAATGTTATAGGATGTATTAACTAAGTAAGGGTCTTTCATGCAAGAGATCCTGGTGGAACAAACATTTGCACTCCACCACTAACCTAAAGATTGATGGTTGAAACCCACCCATCTGCATCACAGAAGAAAGACCTGGCAATCTGCTTCCATAAAAGATTACAGTTCTAAATGTGGAACAAAACTCAAAATCATTAAAAAAAAAAAAAAAAGCCACGTTTGCTGCTAGTAAAGCCTGGTGGAACTAGTGAGACTATAGCCCCTAGCTGCCCTTCAGGTCTGGAATTGAACCCACTCCTGTGACTTCCAGCCAAACAAAAGACACATATATGAGCTGAACATTTACGTTAGGTAGATACACTCCTTGGAGAGATGACTCATGGGAAAATAGAAGAGCTGTGTATGCACAGGGAGACAGCTCAGGGGGCAGGAGTGCATGGAGGGAAGGACACAGGGAAGAGGTAACAATGGGGAGGAAGTGGAAAGAGAGCTGTTGCATTGTGGGAAATAGCATTCAGTGTCATGAGACAAAGTGTATGTGAGCTACTGTATGGAAAGTGAATTTACTCTGTAAACTTTCACCCAAATCACAATAAAAATTTTTAAAAAAGAAAAAGATTACAGTTCTACTCTGTAACACTTGGGGTCACCATGAGTCAGAATTGATGCAAAAGTAACAGGTTTGGGTTTAGGGGTTTCCTTTTTTAAATATACGTGTGTATAAGACCCTGTGTTAGCCCAAGAGAGGAAAGGAACGTTTAGGACACAGATTATGAAGTTTCTGTTGATAATTACAGAGGGGTTGGGAAGCTTCTGTACACAAAATCTGAATTACAAAGAGCTCCTCCAGCAAACTGTCTACAGCAGAGGGGAGCTGAGGCTCAGAGAGGTTAAGGGCTTAGTCCATGGTCACATGGCCAGCAAATGATAAAGCCAGATGCAGAGTGCCAGACTCCTAACTCAGGGCTCTCACTACCATTCCCACCCCAGCCTCTACCATGGCGCCTCCCAGCAAGATGAGAGCAGAGGGCAGAGCCTAACTAGTGAGTGGTGGAAGAGTAGGTCACACACACCTTTCTTCGAAGGATGGACTCTTAAGGCAATTTTAAATTTCATTTTTTTAAAAAATGATAACCTTAGAAAAAAAAGACCAAACCTGGACAGAAGAGTCCATTTCAGGCTCTGCCTCCCCATCTCTGTAAAATACTGCCTGTCACCAGGCCATCTGACTGGCTCTCAGAGGAGGCTTCTGGCTACTGCTCCTGGGTTTGATTAACAGAGACTGCCCCCTGTTTGTGACAAGGAGAGTGGAAGGCTTTTGCTTTGGAAGCCGATGCGATCTACCACCGGTGATTCTAAGCCTTAAGCCTTCGTATCCCTGTGAGCTTTTCCCAGACCAAATTCCCTTCCTCTGCCGCTGCCCCTGGAATATTGCCCGAGCCAATTTCTCAAGTCGTTACTAAACAGAAGAAGGAAGAAGCGTCTTAACTTCTTATACTCTCCAAAGGCTAAAAGCCCCTTTCCTCGGGTTTGTCAACTCAGTGAGTACAGTCACTACCACATAATAGGTGGCGATGATGGGGAACATGTCCCCATTTGCAACGTGTGATTGTGAAGGCATTTCTTTCAGGGCTTCTGGGTTTTATCAGCTTCCTCACTGAGACACCTGGCAAGTGGCAAGTTCACGGAAGATGAAAAATCACCCTAAAATGAACCCCCCCACACACACTGCTACCCAAATGAGCTGTTGCAAATATGTTGAAATTAAAATTCATCTCTTCATGAAAGTGCGGTCTGTGAGAGACATGATAGCATTATTATTTATAGCACAGGTACTTTTACTATCTAAAGAAGAAATCTAATCTGCTACAGGCTTCATTATGGCAGACTGCACTGCACACTACAACAAGAATGCTGTTGTCCATTAGACAAGGTGGTGATGGAACAAAAGGATATTTGCTGACCAGGATGTTGCAGCCAACATCCATAAGTAACTCAACAAATGAGATTATTCGCACTGTGGTCCTCATCCGAAAGAGCTGTTCTTTAATCGGTCACATCAGGTGGCTTTTAGGGTTTCAGAGGTTTCTAAGCAACTGTTAGCCTTGAGGAGGAAAAAAGAAGATGAAAC